TTCCGGGATGGGGAGACCCAGGTGACCTGCCAGGGGTCCCTTCGGCTCCAGACCGGGACAGACGCGCTCAAGGTCACAGTTCCGGTGATGATGCAGCCTGTGTACCACGCCTCAAGAAGGAGGGAGCTTCCAGGCGTTCTGTGATGTACAGGGATAGGGTTCTCCTGGGGCTGTTAGATACCTGGGGCTCCACGGGACACCCCGTCCCTCCAAAAAATTATTATCTAACCTAAAATGCTAGTCGTACTGAGACCTACAGATAGGAAGTCATTGACACTCCTGCGTGTGTATGTTCACATGCTTTCAAGTCAGGCAAGGCTAGGTTAACGTTAGCTTTTTTAAAAAGTAACCTTAAAATTAAGTTACATGTTTAACGCTGGTTAGTCCGAAAGAATGCCCTGGTGCTGTGGAATCACCAAGTTTTAGAGCAAGAAATAAGGAAGTAAATATAGGAAGCCAGTTTATGAGCCAATTAAAATGTAACCCAGCCAAACTATGATTGCCTTGGTTAGTAGGAGATCTGGGCTTGAGCCCAGGACATCATTTTAATGACTGTTTTCTACCTGTTTGTCTATTTTAGTTTAAGCATCTAACTTGAGAAACTTCAATAATATATGTTCCAAAAATTTATAAGGGGCTGATAATTAAGAACACTTAAATTGCTTTTTATTCAACTGACTTAAATTTTGGGAAAAATAGTTTGTCTTAAAATTCAATCTCTTAAACATAAGTATACACTTACCTGTGAAATAAGGTCAAGTACTTGCCCTGTGATTTATCTTTTAGGATTAAAATGTAATTTAGCAAAGTTGAGAGAAATTGAATGAAGCTAAGTAACTTGTGTAACAAGCGAAAGATAGTAAAATAGTAATACCGTAGTTTTAAGAGTCTTCCATTAGCCTAAAATTGGCTTTCTGTTTTCCTAGTGTAGGAAATGTAAATTATCTGGAAATCAGAATTCTGTTAACCTCAAGCAGCAGAAGAATGTCTTAGAAGTAGCATCACCCCCACATCTGATAAGGAAATCATAGCAATGAGGAAATGTCAAACAAAAATTACTGGTACTTTTGGTAGTTGACTGGGTAACCAAAAATAAAAAACTAAAAATGGGTCAGGTACTCATTAACTGGTGATGAAGGATAAAAGATCTGTATGTATGTGGAGAATTACAGGTAAGTGTCAGAAAAATCATTGATCCACCCACATGGGGAAACATTTATGATGCCCAAGGAAAGCAGAATATAAAAATAAAACTATGAACTGATTTCAACCATAAAACCTATAATACAGAAAAGGATAAACACATGGATAGTTCTGTGTTTTAATTGAAATGACTAGGTTTAGGTAAATTTCTTTTTTTCAGTGAATAATAGGTTATGTAAAATACACTAACAATGAAGGGAACTGTTTCATGAAAGGTTACACTCCAAATTTTTGCTTTATACTCAGTAATAATAGCTTGTCTTCAAAATCTGCTTTTTAAAAATAACTTGCTGAAAAAATAGGAATCACTTTAACAAATATAGGCAAACCATTGACACAATTAAAGGAAATGATCAGGGGGAGTATACAGTTTGGCTCAAAGTAGAACATTCAGTTGTTTTTCAAATTTTACTTTTGTCCAGGAAATAAATGAAGATCTAAAAACCGTTGCTTAACGTATCCAGTGTCTTGTTCTAGACTACGGGACTTGGAGGATCAGCAGTGGCTGGGCACTCCTCAGACCAGATTGAAAACATGGTGCCTGTTAAGGATCGAATCATTAAGGTCACCTTCAATGCCGATGTGCATGCCAGTCTCCAGTGGAACTTCAGACCTCAGCAGACTGAGATATATGTGAGTGACTAATGGAGTCATCTGTTAACCCATCTGTGCTAAAGTATTACACCCTTCTAAACTCACTGTAAAATGCTAGTACACCCCATGAGTAATTACACTTGATAATATTCATGAGATATAATTCATGAAATGGAATTCCTCAAGGAATATGTTAGTACTTTGAAATGTTTACTTTTTGATAGTACCTTACATTTAAATGGAACTATGACATTTGGGGTTTCTGTGACAGTCTCACCCTATAACTCAGGCCAACCTCAAACTCATGATCTTCCTACCTCAGTTTAGCCTTGCTTGCTATTCTTGCTGATTTCTCAGTACATTAACCTCTGTTTAAACAAAGGTTTTATTCGTCAATTTGACTTTGATTGTGAACTTATTGTAAATAGACTTAAGGTTAGTTTAACATTGATATCCTCTTAAAAATATTCAACCATGGCATTAAGATCTAATGAATTAGAGGTATAGAGGCATGTGTAAATGTATGGTGTTGGCTATATTTTAACTTTTAATCAGCTTAAAATAATGTCATGTGTTTATAATCATGTGATTAAAAGTTGACTAAATCCTTTGGTCATTAATGTTGAATTTAGCAGTGCCTAATCATGTTATATAGCTTTCCTAACTTTTACTATGGTATAAGTGGTAATAGAAAAAATGTGGAGACTCATTGGTCATAATAAGTAATTTAACGGTTTATCAGAAGTATTTCTGTCTGTCAAAAAGAAAAAAATATAATTTTGGGAGGAGGAGAAAGTACTGAGGTATTGCAGCTAGAGTTTTCCTGCCTTGCCCACAGTCGGGACAAATCTTTGTCACCTGCCAGTCCAACAGCCGCTCAGACCCAACCAAGTAAACACAGAGACTTATGTTGCTTACAAACTGTATGGCCGTGGCAGGCTTCTTGCTAACTGTTCTTACAGCTTAAATTAATCCATTTCCATAAATCTATATCTTGCCATGTGGCTGGTGGCTTACCAGTGTTTTCACATGCTTCTTGTCATGGCAGCGGCTGGCAGTGTCTCTCTGCCTCAGCCTTCTGCTTCCCAGAATTCTCCTCTCTCCTTGTCCCACCTACTTCCTACCTGGCCATTAGCCAATCAGTGTTTTATTTATTGACCAATCAGAGCAATTTGACATACAGACCATCCCACAGCACTTCCCCCTTTCTTTTTTTAAAAAGGAAGGTTTTAACTTTTACATATCTCCAAAGCCAGCTTGGTATATTTGGGAACTTGGGCGTAGCTTCTCTTACTACTTCCTGCTGAAGGGGGGCGCTGTATCTATGGAGACACAAAGAAAATTTTAGGATCATGGAATAGTCTGTGAGGCTGTATCGTCTGAGCCAGTTGTCTTGAAATGGTTCTGGATGTTGGATCATCTGATCCTTGGTGTTATCAGAGACCTTTCAGGGGGTCTTGGCTGGTCAAACCTGATGTATTTTAATCTGGAACAAATCCATAGCCTCTGGCTTTCTGTAGAAACAAAAGCAGAGCCTCTTTTCCAAAGCAACATATCCTTACATCCAAATTTTGAAGTCAAGGTACCTTTAAAATATACATTTTGGCATAACTCAACAGCTTTTGCAATCAAATGTTTTTCTTCACTTACGAATA